TAAAATATGACAAAAATATAAATTATCAAGGGTTCATGAGGGAGGGGGGAGCAGGGAGGGTGGGGAAAAAATGAGGAGCTGACGCCAAGGGCTTAAGTGAAGAGCAAATGTTTTGAGGATGATGAGGGCGATGAATGTACAAATGTGCTTTACACAATTCATGTGTTCATAGATTGTGTTGAGTTGTATGAGCCCCTAATAAAATGATTAAAAAAGGAAAATTTCATTATCTTTTTATTCCATTTTTCCATGAGCTTTTTTCCCCTATGAAGTTCCTTAATATTACAGCTAGTAAATCATATAGAGCAGGTCTACCCTGTCCTATAGGGTCACTAAGAGTCAACATCAATTGGTTGACATATGAAAACAATTAACATTAGCCAAGATTTTTTTCTAGGCATTGTGAATTAACCAACAAAACAATGTCCATGTCTTCTTGGAGCTTACATTCAAATTGTGAGGGCAGGGACATCAAAGAAACAAGCAAAAAGTCACCAGATAAAGATACCAAGGAGTCTAATAAAGTATTTTTAAAACCTTTATGGAGGATAGTCAGAAAAGATCTCATCAGGAAAGTTAACTTTAACAGAGATATAACACAGGTAAGGGAATGAGCCCACAGGGAAAGGTCATCTCATTCTGGTCTATGCCATGCCAGTGTCTTCCCCTTCCCTAGTTCTGAATCAAAATTCTTTCCATGCTGAGTGACAACGATCCTTTTTGTGTTTCATGGTCACCTCTGATATTTCAACAGTTGTAGCTTGTAATTAATTATCTGAACGGGAGAACACATTCAAGTAACAAAAGGCTCAGAAGGACACAGTCTCTTGCTATTCCCCCATGAAGTCAATATTCCTACCTGTCACATATGAACCTGTTAAAGTGAATTTTGGGATATGTATTATTTCTTTTAGGGTCCTTGATTTCAGTACAGTGAACCCTCGCCACTTCGCGCTTCGACTTCCGGGGCTTCACTCTATCGCGGTTTTTGCGTAACAGCACTCACTGCCTACACCCGCTCCTTCAGAGGAAAAAGACGGCGACCCACCTGTAGAGTACATCCCTTAAGTCATTTCATAGGCTTTTGATTACAGTATTTGTAAGAACTATGTATAATAATACTGTATGTGAAAT